AATACTTTTAATTCGATCAATACTGTTGCAGTTATTGCCGTGGCTGTTCGAAAAACCGAAATTATGGAAAACTGGAATTGGATTCAGAAGAACATCATGCCTATTTTAGGTGAGCCTTAAATTTCGCTGGCTTGGCTTGTCCGTTGGTCTATGAACAAATTTGGCTCTCTGTTCAATTTATTCTTCTTATTTTCAGGTTCATTCTCGACCGAGAAAGATGTGAGAGCCTTCGTTGTTGGTAAAGTGGAGAGTTTGGTTTTTATCGCGGCTGAGACTTCGGGAGCAAGCGGTGAGAGGAATTAGCTCAACTTTCCAATTGAAATGTGATCCTATTCACTTTGTGCTTATTCCTTTTCTATGCTTGTTTATGAGTACTATTTCAGATGAGCTGGACTCACTAACAACTCGATCAGTTCTTCACAAATTTATTACATTGTTCTCACTAACACCTGATGAAAAACTAGTTAATTGTGAGTCTTTTTCATGTTATCGAATAACTTCCCGAATCTAATTATTTTTCATATAGATTACAACTGTTGTTACTGGAATAATCGTTTCCCTCATCAAGGACAGTTATTCCTGTCTGTGAATTTTCTTTGTTTCCATTCATTTGTTATTGGGAATGAGGTGAAAATTAAACTGAAATGGACAGATATAACGGTATGATTGTTACTTTTTGATATTAGTGACTGCTGCTTTTTGGTAGAAATCTAATGATTTTAGAAACTCGAGAAAGTTTCGACACTTCTATGGCCTCAAAGCATACGGGTCGTTACCCGTCAGGAAAGCTATGAGTTTTCGATGTTCATAAACTTTGAAGAGACTTTCAAGCTGGCATCACAGTTAGCCAACATTGCGATGAAACAGTAGGTTTTGTTTTTTTTTCCTGCATTTTCGTTTTTTTTACAAAATTATTATTCTGTTTTGTAAGAGGTGACTTTTTCTATAGCAGTTCCTTCAGAAGGAACTCGAACCCCGGTTTACTGCAAACCCGCCTCTCGTATCATGTGCTTGAATTCACACATGGGCTGTGTCTCAAAAATAAGTTTCACCAATAGATGTACTCACAGGGCGATTTGGTTTTTGTGAATTGCTCCTCAAAGGACAAAAACTGCTTGCGGTCTTCACGTATTACGGGAGCGCAGTGAACAGCATGTTCGTGTGTCTGAGTTCTTATAGTGAGGTCTGCTTTCTGTTATTTGGGAAATCTGTGATCTCACGGTTGGTCAGCTGCTCAATCAAATCAATTCGATTGTTCTATTGATCGAAATACAACTTAGTAATCAAGTTGTTCAACGTCTAATTGTTAATTGGAATCACAAATCACATTAGCAGCTGTACTGAAGTTTTTGTTGATGTATTGTACTTCAGACCTTTACTTTTTTCATGTGAGCCCAACCAATAACTAATATAATATGTACATAGTTTTAGTCATTAGAATTACTGAGTCAGCATAAGATCTTGTAAAAATCATTCCCACGTCAGGTGTTATTTAAGTAGGTTCAGCCGATGAAATGCTCCGAATATAAGACAAGCTTGGCTTTCCTTCATATTCCGTGATTCTTTTTGTTCTGTTCGGACCGATCGTTTGATTTTCCTCAATGCAAAGGGCCTCGTGTCTATTCGAATGTTTGCAACATTGAAGTTTCAGATTGATCGAGGAAGAGGGTTTTTCTGAAGATGTGGATCTCTTGCACAAAGCTCTCCTTGAAAGCGGACGGAAACGAGCAAGGAAAATTTCGTCGTCATTCCTGAAAAGAGATTTGGACGCTAGGCAACGTAGTGAAAGTTATAGGTTAGCTTATGATTGATTAATTTTTATTGTTAATTTTTTTTCGATGGTTATTTCGAATGTTGTGAATCGTCTTTAGAAAAATCCTCTCAAGTAAGTATTCTGCATGCCCTCCTGGGCAGCATTCATAGTTTGCGATGCGAAAATTCCAACACTCTTGCTAATATTGTGACAGCGATCGACGTTGTTGTGACGCATGAGCGCATGCCGCGGTGGATTTCTTGGGCTGTTCTTCTGACAGTATGAAATGGGCTCGAGGTGGTAGTCTGCAGCTTCACCGATAAAATCATTGTCGTCGCCGGCTACTACATTGACTGTGTCGCGTGGTGTCGACTATTATACATCCCCGAGGTCTTCCTAGCTTTGAAATTAGTGTCGATCACCGCTAACAATGTGATCACCCTTCGCGGCAACACAAATGCAGTTGTTGTTGCTTTTTCTATTACATTGCGATCTCTGAAGGCTGTCTAAGGTTAGCGAAAGTGGCGGAATTAATGGGGCTTGATTGCGGAAAGGTTGGGTTTCAGAGGCTCGTGCCCATAACTAGTTACGTTTTAGGGAAAAACTTGCTTAAGGTTGCCAATCAGCTTGAAAAGTACTGTATTAGAGTTCTATTTAGAATTTCGTCTACCGTTACATCTACCTTAGAAAGTGTGGTCTTGAGATAAGACAATGTTCTCTGTAGCGTAGTCTTCAACTCAAAGTAAATCGTGAAACGTCGATCCCTCAGTAATGTAATCGACGCATTTGTATTTGGGAGAGCAGATAATCGTCACTAACATATCCATTATCGTGCTCGTGACAAAAGAGGGCAGTTGATTGAATTTTCCATGAAATCCAAAGTGTTTTCATTCTTTCATTTTCCCATTAAATGACCAATCATAGGGTATATAGTCCACTTCATAGTGTCCGCTGCGATACAGCATTACGATGTTTTTTCTCTTCTCTGTGTCGGACCCTTCCATTACCCATAGTATCCATTCGATTATCTGAAATTCATATAAATTTACTTCGGACTTCGGACTTTACTTCGTTACGTCATTTTACAAAATTTATCCATGTGACCGATTCTGATCTGACACTGCTGTGAAAGCCTAAGCCTCAGGTTTTTTCTACGGCTCTACTCGAAAGTTGGGTCACTGGGGGTCACTGCCATTATGCATAGTCAAAGCTATACGAGAGTGTCTGATATACTAACCCGGTCCCTTTGATTTACAGATACTGCAGTTTCACTTGTACTTGTACAATATGTTCCGCAATGGTACTCACCTTCGTTGTAGTACAACCAAAATCCATCGCATACCATTGGAATAGCTTGCTGAGATACAGTTTCTTTCGGCACATGTCCACTCGCACATGTTTATCTGCTTCAAAAGCATCGCATGCAATCTCACGCAGTTCTGATCTGACATTCTGAACTTTTGTTGTTCTCAAAGAATCCAAGCAGCTTCAAAGGGAAGTAAACTCACGGTGCAGGTGTAAGCTTTCAACGAATGTGTTGAGCGGGTACCGTTGTTTAACGCAAAGTGTATGAGTGGCTCACAATATGGCAAAATCAGCTTAAACGGATTCGATAAGAGTTTACTAGTTTAGTAGTTTACTAGAAAACGAGATAGAAGAGCTTAATTTATATCATTTGGTCTCCTGTTAGCCCCTTCCTATCCCCCCCCCCCCCCCCCCCCCCNCTCTCTCCAATCCCTGCCTGCCTCGATATGACTTATTTTGCATTTTTTTCATGGTGCTTTCACACTCGTGGAATTACACACTACATCTTTGTGTTGGTGCTAACTATGCAATCTATACGTTTCTCGGTTTGTGTAGCCTTTTTTGGCATGATGTCCAGGACCTGTTCATAAATGGTTAGCGTTGCCTCAAGCTATGTGCTTGGCTCTTGAAGATGTATGAGCATCCCGTCCCTAGTATGTTGAACAGTTAATCGCGTCATATACTTCACCTTCTTTCTTTTACAGAACTTTTCTTTTCACCTGACTTGAATTCACATACAAACAACTCACGGACAGCCGCGCATCTTTCTTTCCAAAAGGTTTCCATAACATTTCGAGTCCTTTGCGGTTCGAACGCAGAATTCCATCTAATATTGAGTGCGGAGCGTATTTGTGGTCATCGATCAGATAATATGTACAATTCATGAGCTGTAACATAAAGGTTTCAAATTTCAACGAGACTTGGTTGCTTTTCTACGGTATATTCATCTCTATACTGTACTTATGAAGAAACTGTTCGTTCTGGTTCTAATATAAGGCTTCCGTTATGGTCCTCCTCGAAACCGTCATATAGTGGATCCGCACTCACCTCCAGCTTAAGCAAAAGGGTTTCTAGGCTCGGCCATATTATGCTCTGCTTTTTATTCTTGTTATACATTACTGTAAATTTTTTCTCCTTACTAACCTTTTTCAAATGAAGGCGGTTGTCGGGTTGAACTTTACTTCAACTCAAATCCGAATAAAAATTTACCTTTTCAACTGAAAATTTTGCCATCTTACTTTTCGTCTGTCCCAAATACTCCGAGGTGGTCCTTGCAAGTAGGTAGTGTGGATCGTCATCATATTGTAGATATTGATGAACAATGCGAGTTTCTCGTCAGGCGAAGCCTCTTTGAGTCGTATGGTCTGTAGATTCCTTGCGTGATCGATGTAGGCCCGGAAAGCGGCATTTTCGGATAGTTTGTAGTAGAGGATTGTCTGTAAATTGTGATAAAAACTGATATCGTGTAATAAATAATGCTTAAATCCTGCATTGATATCCGTAGTTTACTATATTTCGCTAATCCCTTCTCTCAAAGGCCCCCATTAGTCTTAGACTGATTTGAGTGTCAGTTGGGTTTTTAGGTTCCAGTAAGATAAGTATGAGAGAATGCCCATTAGTGAGCAAATATCCCAAAAACTAGGATTAAGAGTAGATGGAAATGTGTTAGTTGTTTTCATCAGATATGTGGAACAAGTGCTTGAAGCTAATAATCATTGTTATTGTATTTTTCTTCTGAGCCGTGCTTACCTTACATTGATTGACGAGTATGTCATCGAATATCGAGTTCATTATCGGTACAAGTTTTTCGTTGAATTCAAATACTGAATATGTCCGTCCATCTGGTTGACCACCATTTAGTATGGTTAAGTGGCTGTGGTCTTCTCTGGAAAGGTATAGTATAGTAGCAAACGACCCCCTGAAGAGAAACAGGTGATAAGAATCGATCAAAGCTGTGATACTACTGCCCTCTTCATTTCTGATCAGTTTCGACCATCGCTTTCTTCCGTTCTATTTTACAGCGAGATCCGGAGGTCTCGTGCGAATTCCATCCCCCTTTGCGACAGTATTAGTCCTCTCTTTGTATCGATCCGGTTATCTGTGGCGTTTACCGTAGCCTCCGGGTAACATAGGTAATAAATTACGAAAAGTTTGTCTCAGCTCCAGTGAGCTTCTTAACTTTCGTAAAGGCAGTCGATTGCTTTCGCTGTTATTAAACTTCAAAGTATTATTTAACTGCTTTCGCTATTAAACTTATGCCTTTGACCCTTTTTTCTGGAGTAAATAAATACAGTAATGAAGAAAGGAAGAAGGGCTATACCAACAATTGAAAGGGTGTAAGGTTCATTGTCGCATTGCTATGTTGTTGTTGTTTATCAGGTGCAAAAAGGCGTATTAGCAAAAGACTGAATGAAAATGTAGTACCTACAGTAGGAAACCTGATCTGTTGCTACAGGAAGCCAGTTTTTATATACTTCCATATGCGCTCAGTCTTCAAAAGTGGAACCGAACTTTATTCTAAATGCAGAAGCAATACTACTTCAGAAAAATTATTGTTTAATTAATCGAAAGAAGCCGGCTGGCGAGCGTTCCTTGTCCTCACTTATTTTTCCTGTGCCAAAATCCTCTTCGTTACCTACCGTGTATCCTAGATAAGATAGCTTCCGCGGGAACTGGGTTTGCGGTATTCAGAATTCAAAAAAAAAACTCGAGCACTTTTGTTTTTCTTCTTTTCATGAGTTTTTGGAAATGAGGTATTCAACTTTCTTATGATCATGATGGANGCGGGCTTACGGACAAGAAACAAACCTAAGCTTTTGAATATTTTAAAAATGCAGTCGAACACTATTGCTTGTACATTTATAAACGACCTTTTTTTGCTGAATTTTTTTTTAGCTTCCAGTGTTCAATTTTCGGTTCTTATCTGCGTCATGATATAAATGGGTACTATGAAGCCGAAAGTAAGCACAGAGCTGAAACGACCACTGACTTGGAATCAAACGTCTTGCTTCTTGTTACGTTACCTGTTTTCCCCCATCGATATTACCAACTCCGACCGTTCATCGATCGTTTCTTGGGCATAGTGCGATTCAGCGTTATCTGAAAGATTATTCTTCGTTTACATTTTCCTTACGCAGCGCGTACGCTTGCGTCCATTCTCGCCTTTTCTGAGTTTCCAAAAGAATAAGTCGAAAAAAGAAACAGTTCTGCAGAAGTGTTTGCCTAACGAACCTGATAATCGAAAAGCGTTGAAACTAATACCGGAGAAGTTGAACTCGGAATAAGGTTCATCGTCAGACTCGTACGGGGAATTCCAGTATTGATTGATCCAATATTGTTCGTCCAATTCTTCGGATTCATTTTCGCCTTCATACACTGTAGCTAGCATGACGAAGGGAATTAAATTTTTCGTCGCTATTGAATGATCGAGTTGTTGTCGAAGCGATGAAGGTAGCTGGCAGGAGAATGGGGCTGTTGGTTTTTGTTTGCCTCTGGTTTCGATAGATGGTGATAGGGGGTGAAGGGCATGCACATTACAGCGCAATTTCGGACTCGTGCATGGCTACTGGTGTAGGCGTAGCAATAGCCAGCTCGCTGTATACGTAAATGTATTAAAGGGCAAACTAGCGAAGAGCTTTTGGTAAACGAGAATTAACTCCTCATCGGAATGGGCAAATACTGCCTTGTGACATTTTGAGGAGTCTCAGTTCACAAGGTTTTTAGATGTCGATTCAATTTGCCACATTCGGAGAAGTTAGATGGTGATACGGAATGCCGTCTTGTCACTCCTTACGATCGCCGTCACGTGGTTGGCCGGCTGTACGTATCGGCTCGTTTTGTATGTTTCGGCAGCAGAGTAAGTTACTCCCGAGAACTTTTCTCTGGCAAATTTCGAAGTCCATTAGACTTTTGTGATATCTTTTCTGTTATAGCCATTTTTCTTTCCTGTTAGCGCCAGCGCCAAGAAAGGGTACTGATGCCATAGAACTTCCTTTTCAGACCGAAAGACTCGTGTCTGTTGTTATCCCTGTGGTTGAGATATCGACAGTCGAGGAATGTAGCGCGGCCTATGGCGAAAATCTGACCCGAGGCACCGGTCTGCTAATTTGCTTACGTAATGGGGTAGGTGTTTTACTAAAGTTTCTCAGTTTTTCTGTTCTATTAACATTATTTTTTATTTACCGAATCAACTGCTCTCACGTTTTAAGGGAACAGTTGTCTTCTCCTTCGTACCGGATCGCGATAGAGTTCTTGCGAAGATTACGACGTTTGTGGAGCGATTTCGAATTCAAAGTACGCTAAAGAAACCATCAACGGCGAAGGTGAGTGATATGCCAATCAGACCTATTTATTTCAACTATGGCATTTCCATTTCCCAATCTTGGTTCTCAGGTCGGTTGCAGCTTGAGTTGTGTGCCTCTTCCAGGAACCGCAGCTGAAGTTGGCTCCTTTGGATTATCCTCTAATAGCGAAATACCCGTGTGGAACGGATGCGGATGATAAATGTAAGGCCAAATGGCAACGTTTGTTCGATGAGTACGGTAGAGGAACGACAATGTACCGGACTGTTGATCTTCATCGATTGTTGCTAGAAGGCGTGCCACTGAACCTTCGTGGAGAGGTATTCAGAAGGATTCCTATATCTTTATTCCTTTCNATTTTCATTCGTCTTTTGTTTCTCTTCACTTTTTTCACTCCAAAACTTTTTCACTTCTCGAAATTGTAGGGAATCATTTATAAAAATAATATTCGAATAGAATATATTGGAAATTTATAGGTTTGGATGATATGCTCAGGCGCGATGGCGGAAATGGAGCTGCATCCCGGCTACTACGAAGATTTATTGCGTAAGCATGAATCCGTCTATACAGTTGCTTTGGATGAGATCGAACGAGATTTGTATCGGTTCGTTGGCCCACTTGAAATATTGTGACCAAACAATATTACCACCTTTTTTTGTAGTAGTCTACCAGAACATCCAGCATTTCAAAATGGCGAAGGTATCGATGCATTGCGACGGATTTTGACGGCCTACTCGTTCAGAAATCCTAATATTGGTGAGCGTCTCGAACGGTTATTGTTCTTTTCGAGTGCCTTATTGTAAGCTTTTGTTTTAGGGTATTGCCAGGCTATGAATATAGTGAGCTCAGTGTTGTTATTGTATGTGAAGGAAGAAGAGGCGTTTTGGCTATTAGTAGCTATATGTGAGCGGCTCTTACCCGACTATTATAATACAAAGGTCGTTGGTGCTTTGGTGGACCAAGGTGGGTCAAAGTGCATCATATTTGCTTTTCATGCGCTTTTTATTTGTGAAATAAGTGCGACTTCTGACATCCCAAGACAAGACTTGACTTTCCAATGGCTTTTTTCGACATTTGTACATGTACATTTAGTTTAATCCATTATTGTTTTGGCTACCATCCTCGCTTTTGATGGTTTTACAGAATTGTTACAGAAGGATTAGATTCAAGGATGAATATCGTGTTCTCCATCAAGCTTTGAACTTCCGCTTATGGTTATATTTAATGTTCTGTGAAAAAGAGACTCAATTTTTAGGGGTTTTCTCTGAGTTGGTGGAGCGATCGATGTCGAATATTAGCACAAAACTCTCCCAGTTAGGACTAGGAGATATGGTAGCGTTATCGTGGTTCCTCACTATTTTCCTGAGTGCAATCAAATTTGACGCCGCTGTTCGAATACTGGATCTGTTCTTTTATGAAGGAGCAAGGGTAAGCAGTAAAGTACATTCCATTCATATTTTGAATACAATGAAAAATTCTAGATGAAAATCGATTTGATTCACTTTACTATTGGTGCATGTTTAGCTGATGTTTCAAGTGGCAATGGAAATGCTACGTGAGAATGAGTCAATCATCTGCAAATCGAAAGATGACGGTGAGACGCTTTTAGCGTTGTCGGCGTATTGCGATCGAATTCATGAGGGAACGTCTGGAGAGAGTGGGAAGGTGAGAACAGCTACTTATAGAGGAACTGAAAATTCGTTGTTCGATTATTGAATAGCTTGAAGAAGTTCTAAAAGTGTATCGGCTCACTTGCGACTTGATGCTGAGCTTTCCATAAGAGCTAGACCGGTCTCATTTGCTTCTACATGTGGCGTTGTAAACGCATTTAAGAAAGAATATTTTCATTAGAGTTTATATTTTGCCATGCGCTGCTGTTATTCTAAGCTCTCGTCCCTTCATTTTGCTTTTTCACTTTGTGCTTATGTTCCTCTATTCTATTTTTTTTT